GATTATGTAATAGCCCTATATGTAAAAATGTATAAATGTAACTTCTTTCAATGACTTAATAAAATGACGAATCTCATGACGACTCTCATGACAAATCTTTTGGATAGATTGTTATAACAGTGAAGTTATAAGTAGTTTTAGGCAAAACTAACTTGAGACTCGCTCAAATCTTTTTACGCCTCTGTCTTGATTTTGGTATTGTTTTGTGTGTATGATAGAAGAACGGACTCTTTTATCCGCAGGTTACGTGAGCTTTTGGTCATTAGCGACAGACTCGCCGATTAGCCTGCTACAATATAGATAATTTTAAATATTTATTTAATAAAAAAAAAATTTTTTTTTTAATTTGTTTAAACAAAGCTATCGAATTCTTTAATTTTTTGTTATCTATTTTACTTGTTTTTAACAATTATAATACTTGTACCAGGCCAATAAAATAGACTTCCTGCATATTTGATATCTTATTTCAATACTATATTATTGAAATATACAAAAATAAACTCTAATATGAGTGATACGAAAGATAGTAGGCTGCCGTTATTATAAAAGAAATGTACTGTAGCTATGCTGATCATATTATCAAAAAACTAAATAATATTGGTCACGTGAATGCTGCATATAATGTTGACTGGTTAAAAATGATGAATAAAGAAAGGAACGGTTAACATTGTTTATTATTACGGTAAATAATTGGAGTTAAAAAATGATGAATATAAAGTCTTCGAGTATATCAGAATTAGCTTATATGTATGATGCTGATGAAAGGAATTGAAATTTGAAAATGATAAACATAAATAAGAAAGGCCATATGAATGTCATTAATTGGGCAATTCACTTGGCCATTGTTTTGAGTCATGATTACGTATATGACGTTTACGTGTAACAAAATAAACAGCTATAAATAAATAACTATAAATAAATTATTATACATACCTTTTCGCGCTTTCAATGGTGTTAATGATGTTAGATTGGGTACACGATAACCTCGATAATTTCGAGTCAGAAATTTTTTACCAAAAGTTTAATTATACTTCACGAAAGAAGGCTGAATGTGACTTGAAAGAATGTATTACAGAGGTATCAAAAGATAACACTATTTTCAAGTGCAGGAAAGCGACTATTTTGTTGACTAAATTTGAGGTATTTTTAATATCCTCTATTATTCTTAATTACATAATAATATGTTTAATCTATGCTTGTTTGACAGTCTTGGATTAAATCGAATAATTGTGAGGCATACTGGTCCCAAGTAGAAATCCAGCAAAGCAAAGTATGTTTAGAATTATTTGCTATTTTTAGAAATTATTGTTCTCTAACTTATTATGGTTAATAACAAACAAAAGGTATCAAGTGGAACTAGCAAAAACTTTAGGGGAATCAGTGATAATGAAGAGGATTTACATGAATTTCAATCATTACCAAAAAGAATCAAAATTGAATTGGTAATGTATTTTTTACTATATACTGTATATACACTGTATTTTTTTTGTATTTTGTTATTTCTAATTTAATTATTGTTTTCGAAATTATCAAGGGTCAAAATAAGGACAACCCAATATATATTCATGATGATCTTAGTTCTCATGAGGATACACCGCCCCTTGAAAATGTCTTAAACATCACACCTAGAGCTTATTTACAGCATTATTTGCCATTGACATCTATTTTAAACCAATATTGCGCAAAAGAAGATACTTCACCTTATGAGTAAGTTATAAGTTTTTATGGTGTCTTTGATTATTAGCTAATTTATTATTATTATTTTG